TGCTAATTAAACAGTGAACATTATACTTTGAAAAAACGAAAAAATATTTAAAATATTGCAATTATAACAATTAAAAAATTAATGTTTCTTAAAAAACTGCAATTGTCCATCTCTTCCGAAATGTACAGGTAAGATGACCATAGGGGTCTAGGACAGATGGCCATTGCTTTAAATTAATTTTGTCTTTTTGATTTACCACAGATTATGATTTAAAATCAGTTATAGAGCTCTTCTCTTCCTCTAAAAACAATTCTTGAACATTTCTTATTAAATTCAGAATAATATTCATCAAGTCAAAGATGACAAATATTAGAGTAAATACAATTTTAAATAATTGTAATAAAAATTTGGCAATCATGCATTTAATTATTTCATTGATTTAATGTTTTCTTTAGCAAATTGGCGAATTTAACAGGAGCTGGTAATGACAAACAGTGTACGCTTCACATAAACATAACATGGCCATCCCTCCCGAAGTTATAAGACAGAATGACACATTTATTATTTAAATAAATAAAAAGAGTAGTATCTAATTCCTAGGTTATTACAAAACTTAGGTCGTGTACTATTCAAGAAAACAAAGAACCTGTTTTCAGAAATCAGCAAAATAATAAATTTGGGGCGGTTGATGTTGCCCACAATTGAACTGCATACAGGAAAACTCCACACTAAACTGCATACAATCACAGAAAAAACTTAGTCTCATTTTGATATGCAGCAAAAATGAGTCAATGCTAAACGACATAGACAGTGGCGCCACCAACCTGACTCATTTTTGCTGCATATCAAAATGAGTAGCATACACTATCATTTTGAGTTCAGGTTTTTTCTGTGATAAAAGTGCATACGAGTTATTTAAAAAAAAATTTTTTTGAATTAAAATTATAAACTAAATACAATTAAAATGCGCACCGTTAAACTGCATACGGCAAAACTGCAGTAGAAACCTGAGCTCATTTTTGCTGCAGTTCAAAATGAGCCAATGCTAAACGACATAGAACGTGGCGCCATCTAGTTGACTCATTTTTGCTGCGGATCAAAATGATCCTGTTGGCTGGATCATTTTGAGACCGGGTTTTTACTGTGTGTACAAGAATTAAATTAATATTTTTTGAATTAATTAATTATTTACGTCTGAACTGCACACCGTTAAACTGCATACAGCAAAAATGCTTACAAATTTATTAATGTAGATAAATTTGTAAAATTGAATTAAAAACAGTATACGGTTAAAATGCATACTGTTAAACTGCATACAAAAAATTGCACACGAATTAAAATATTAATATTTTATTTAAAAAATTATTACCGATTAAACTGCATACATCAAAAGATCCCACCATTTAAATTAGATTAGGTTATGTATACAGTGATTTGTGTGCAGTTTAAAGGTGTACAATTTAAGTTATTTGTTTTTAATTCATTTTTAAATTAATTTGCACACTTTTTTGTATGTAGTTTAACGGTATGCAATTTAATCGTATATAATTTTTTTCATAAAATTGAATTAAATTAATTTGTGGGATCTTTTACTGCGTATGCAGTTTAATCAGTAATAAGTTTTTAAATAAAATATTAACATTTTAATTCGTGTGCAGTTTTTTTGTATGCAGTTTAACAGTGTGCATTTTAACCGTATACTGTTTTTAATTCACTTTTACAAATTTATCTACATTAATAGATTTGTAAGCATTTTTGCGCTGTATGCAGTTTAACGATGTGCAGTTCAGTCGTAAATAATTTTTTAATTCAAAAAATATTAATTTAATTCTCGTACAGTTTTGCCGTATGCAGTTTAACAGTGCGCATTTTAATTGTATTTAGTTTATAATTTTAATTCAAAAATTTTTTTTTTAAATAACTAGTATGCACTTTTATTGTATGCAGTTTAGTGTGTGCAGTTTTCCTATATGCAATTAAAAGTAACCGATATTTAATTTATTTTCTATATAAAAATATTCTCACATGCTGTATAATAATCTATACAATAATTTTTCTTCAACAATTTTTCACAATTAAAACAACCCTTTTCCACTTATTGTTAATTAAAAAAGTGCTAATTTTTAAAACAATTGACCTTATCTTTGTTACAAATTATCGTATAAAAATTTAAAAAAAGAAACGTTTTAAAGATCATAAAGTTATACATTTCAAATGCTATGTGTGCAATTTAAATGTAATCATTTGTTAAAAAAATATATTAGTTTAAAATTTTCTACAAAAAATTGAAAATTTTGTTTATTAATAAGAGCAGTTAAGCAATAATTTTTTTTAATTTACTTTTTGGATATTCTTAAAGTAGAGGATATAAGCTTTAAAAAAGTAATTGTTTATTGTTTAATCTTTATTAGAAACAAAAATATAAAACTTTTTGCAATACTTAAAATTTTGTAGGGTGGGCAAAATGTACTGAGCGGCAGTGTACAACAAAAATGTAATTAATGTAAGATCACTTTTATGACTTTTCTCATTTTTAAACAATCTTGTTTTGTAATAAATAATTCAAATTGTTAATTCTTTTTTAAACAGTTACATGCAGCTCCTTTTTATGAATCCATCGATACCAAAAATGCAATTTCGACAAAAATGTGTCTTATGTTCTTTTTAGTTTGCACGGCACAATTAGAAAACACAGTACAATAAAATTATAGTATTTTCCATACCTATGGCAATACAGGTGTTTACGTTCTCAAAAAGTGAAAATCATAAACTATTATTAGGTACTATAAAAGAAAAATAATTTACTTTTGAATTAAACTTTTTTAACAAATTTTATTCTATAGATAAAAAAACTTTTTACAATTAGAAAACTTTTTGTAAATCTGTTTAAAATTAAAAAATATTTTATTAAATTACAAAAATTTTTGCTGTAAATTTTTTGAATATCTTTATCAACATGTCCATTTCATTTTATTTAATTGTAATAAAAATTGAAATAGATTATAAGAAATAGTATATATGATACATGTATATATGAAACGTTTGACTATATATACATACGTAATACGTAAATATGTTTCGTGCATCGCGGAAGGATTTTGGGCGTGGTGGCGATTTTCTTCTTGAACCTTCTAAAATTCTCGCTCAGTTCGTCGATCCCAAATTTTATTAAGAGGAGTGGTGGAACTTCTTTCCCTTTCCTTCCCTCATATGCACGTGTAGATTCTTATGCAACGTATAGTGCGTGCAATACACACACAAGAATTTTAAGATATATATGTGATGTTTGATGGTTAGCAATAGAAATCTTTTTTGTGAGTCTACGTTCTATACCATATGAATAGAGATGCAGGATCGGATTTAAATCTATTCAACTTTTTTATATTTATACTAAATAATTAAATAGGATTAATAACTTTTTTATTTTATAAAACAGTACAGTATATAATAAATACAATCAGAATTGTTAAAATTTATAACATTAACGGAATACGCTCTAAATTTTTTTTTACAATTATAATTTGATAGAATCTTATGCTGTAGAATCTTGATTTTGCAGAAAGAGGATTAGAAAAAATATTAATTTTGCAGAATATTAATTTGCTGGAATATTAATGCCCAAAAAATTAAAATGGAATATCAATTTGACAGAAATAATTCGTCAGAAACTTCAAATTTGACTAATCACAATTTTCTTGATGATTTCTTATTGGTCAAATTTGCAGTTTCCGCCGAATTATTTCTGGCAAATTGATTTTCGACCATTTTAATTTTCTGGACAAATTAATATTCTGCAAAATTAATATTCTTTCTAATACTCTTTCTGCAAAATTAAGATTCTTTTACATTACAATTCAGCAAAATTATTATTCTACAAGACAAAGTTCTGATCAAATTAAATTTCTGTCAAATTAATTTTCGTCTAATTAAAAAATCTGTGAAATTGATTTTCGACCATTTGCATTTTCTAAAACACTAATATTCGAATAAAATTATTTTGATTTTGGAGGTGACATTTATTTGCAACCAATTTTTTTTTGATTCAACAAAGAATAAAAGACTTTTTAAAAAATTATGAATACTTGATTGTTAAACTATTATCTATATTATTAAACTTTGTGCAACTGATTGTAGATATGCAATTTTTAAAATTAAGTAAGAGATAAATTTTACTCAGATATACATTAGTTTTTTAAATAAATAAGTGATAAATAATGTAATATTAAATGATAAATAAATAGCAAAATATCACGCTACATGTTAAAAAAATGGAAAAAGTATTGGAAAAGTATCATGATGAGGTCTTAAATTTTCGGAAGTATGTATCACATGCTTTGTAAAGTTAGTAATAAAATGTAAGGTATTAATGTTTAGTAATGTATTTTCTTTAACGTAAAAAGAATAAATATTTTAATATAATAATATTATAATATACATAATTATTTATTATTATATTATTATTTATTTATTTAATACATAATTAAAATATATCTAAAATGAAATGTCCAAGAATCGTGCACTGTATCAAAGTACAATTATAGATTTTTGTAAACGGAAAAATACACATTAAGTTAATTGCATTTTAATGAACAAAACTTTTAAGATTTGTCAATGTACGAATAGCTATAATTAAGTCAATTTTTTGAATTTATGAAATTCTTTCTTGATAACATATTTCAAAAAAAAATTTATTTTCATTACAAAGAATACACTTTTAATGTTTGTTTGATAAAGATTTATATTAATTTTATATAGATATTTTTATTTTTGGATAAAAGAATGTAATGGAAGAAAATTATTTAAGCTAAATTAAAGTTTTTCGAATGTTTTGAAAAAAATATATATACATATATATATATATCCGATCCTGTTAGCCGAAATATGTACTACGTTGCACGCATAGAAGTACTTTCCACCCTAGCCCTAGCGAATATATCGCCCAGGCTTGCAGGAAGTGACGGGATTGGCTCTCAAGATAATGTGAGTGTTCCTAGATGAGTCGACCCACCAATGCCACGAATTTTCTACATGCGTTTAAGAGCATAGGCAAACCTATGAATCTACGAGTTATACCAATACCCATACCACCCTTGCAGTATTCACTACTCAGTTCGCACCATCACTTCATCATAATCAAGTCGTAGAAGTGGTTCCCAGCGAAAAAAAAATATACATATATATATATATATATGTTTTTACCAATTTTCTATTGTCTATTTAACGAATTTTATTAATTTTAATTAAATAAATATTAATTTTTTTTCTGTAGTGAATAATTTTGAAAATAAAATATTGTGAATATAATTTTTTTATTTTTGAACTTTATTTTTTTATCTGTAATTTTTCATCTTATCTTATCCAAAAGTGTTGTTGGTTTTTCAAGTAAATGGAACTTGATAATTGAAACTGGAGTGAAATAATTTTGAGACCGAGGAACAAATATTAGACGTACCTTTAACCTCAGTAGTCGGTAAGTTCGATGCTCGATAAGAAACGATCATTCAGTTTTTCAATTATTAAATTACAATATTGTTTCTGAATTAATCGTTTTCATTCTATAAGTTTAAAATTTGTTTTTTTTCTTCATATAAATATTTTTGTTTGAAACTTTTTTCTCATTCCGTTTGTTGATATTTTATTTATTTACTTTGTATTTATTTATAATTGCATTGTAGTTTTTACTTCTATATTCTAATTCGGAGTTTTTGTTTGTTTTTATTTCTAAATCGTTTATTCATTTGTTTAATAATTCAAAAGTAGATTGTATGGTGTTTATTAATATATTATTTACTATGTCTTATAATATTAGTGCATGCTTTTTGAAATAAATGTGATGCGAATTTACACTTTTTGAAATATAAATTGGCACATTTACGCTGTTAATTTAAAAGGAAATATTTAATATGTTAATATTTAATACATATTTAATTTAGTTTTGATTTAAAAAATTTTTTGTGTGTATTTAATTATCAAAAATACCTATACTAAAATAAAGTATAGCAGACATTTTAAAAGTAATAAAATAAAAGCTTACATGTGAAAGTTGTAGTAAGCTAACTCGGTAAGATTGTGGTAACCCAAGTAGAAATCAGCCACTGGCATAGTATTGACCCAATACTGCCAGTCAGTATTAATGTACTGACTGCCGTTTTGCCCGGTTGAAAAAACTTGTACAGGATGGTGTACACGATCTTTTGCATGATCATGCACCAATCTTGCACATGTTCATTCACCAGGTCAAGTAATCTTATACATTATCTTACACACGATCTTGTTCGAGTATACGATCACGGACTCGTGTAGTGGATTCCATCAGTTGACATAAATATGAACATGTGCATGTTCTTATACAAGATATTGTACAAGTCGTTGTTCCAATTCTTTTTACATGTTCCCTTGCAGCTTTTGTACATGACCTGGTGAATGAACACGTGCAAGATTAGTGCACGATCCTGTACAAGTTTTTTTTAACCGTGATGGGTCAGTAGTGGGCCAAGTCTGGCTGGTAACGCTGTCCAGTACTGATAAACAGTTCTACAATTTTCCTCTATTATTAATTACTTTTTAGGACGCCATAATAAAAGCATTCTATTTTTAAAAAAATTAATTTTTTTACATTATACCTTTATTTATTTTTTTTTAGTTTATAATGTAAAAAATAGAACTTTAAATAAAAGCATTCTAAAAATAAGCCTAGAAAATTTCTAAAAACTGCACGGAAAGAAAAGGTATCGTTGTCCCAACCATAAAAATATGGTTGGTCATAATATTCTTGAGGCATCCATACATATAGCTGAAGCAGCTTTCAGTATGGATACATTGACAAAAAAGAATGGTTGTGGCAACCATATAATATTTGTACCTATGATATGGATATATCAACTATAGCTTTAGTTGAGGTAACAATATTGGTTTGGATTTTAACAATTTTGTTATCCTATCCATTTTTGAATTGCTAAGGCCCCTATAGACGCATGCGCACCTAGTCTGCGCGGTGATGCAATATATTACGTCTATATTACTCGCATTAATTCCAAGCGTCGCGAAACGTGTATATGTCCGCAGTCCTAAACATTTTCTATAATCATTTAAGAATTATATTGATCCCGGTTAATGTGTTTTTTAAGTTAAAAAATGGAAGCTGAGTGCATTGATTTCCTTAAAAAAATAGGCTTCGAAGTTGATTGCGTCCTTTTAAACAATTTACATTCACCTTCCCCAGTCATAATTTGTAAATGGGGAAATTCTTCAATGTTTGCGACAGTTAGGCACGCACTATAATTATAATACTATAATAAAAGGTGCGATACGATTGTTTATTTTGTTAACGAATTTGTATTTGGCGATTATTTCAAAAAAATAAATACGTTTTTATGGGACTCAATGTTTTAAATTAATCAAAAATAACCTTATTGATAATATTAAACAAATAAAATAAACATAAATTGTAACCATATAAAATGGTTGCTTCAACAATATTAATATGGTACACTAAATAATGGTCGAAGCATCAATTAAAAATGGTTGTCACATCCATATTAGCATTTGTATGTTTTCCAAATATATGGTTCCCACAGCCATATATTCTAGTTGTGCTAACAATTTAAAGCTAGCTTTTTAATATGGCTGGAGCAACCGGAGGTATGGTTGGGACGTATTTTTCAATATAATATGGTTGAGACAACCAAAGGTATGGCTGTGGCAACCATTGATTTTTTTCCGTGTGCTATAAAATTTCTTGAAAGTTCTATAGATTTCTAAAAAATTCTATAATATTTTTAGAAAGTTCTTAAAATTTTTATAAAGTTCCATAGATTTCTAGAAAATTCTATAAATTTCTAGAAAATTTTACATAATTCTAGAAAGTTCTTTAAATTTCTAGAAAGTTCTATTAATTTTGTGAAAAACTCTATAAATTTCTACAAAATTCTATGTATTTGTAGAAAATTCTATAAATTTTCTAGAATATTCTATAAAATTTCTAGAAAATTCTATAAATGTCTAGCTATTTCTGTAAAGTTTTTATAAACTTTCTTGAAAGTTCTATGAAGTTTTTTAAAGTTTGAATGAAGTTTCTAGAAATTTTACTAAAGTTTCTAGAAAGTTCCATGAAGATTCAAAAAAGATTTTATGAATATTTTACACTTAATTTAATAATTAATATTACATATTAAAAAATATTGCACTTCTAACTCTTAAAACTAAGAATAAAAAATCTCGCACGCATGGGGGATCGAACCCTAAACCCTAAGAACGCAAATCGGATAAAATGAATTCATTCTTGAATTTGTTTACCTTACAAAAATTTATAATTATTTCAAAGATTTTATGAAATAAAACTGTATATCAATTTCAGTTGCATATTTTTAATAAATTATTCTTACCGTAAATAATTATAATAAAACAAAATAAAGACATTTATATTACATAAATGTGATGTTCATTTCACGAACATTATGCTTCCTCACAGAAAATATTTAATTTAATTTGCATTAAAAAAAAAAATTTTTAATACTTTTAATTTAATTTATTTCAATTTCGATTTTGCATTTCCTGAAGAAGTTTGTGTTAATTCTTAAGTTTTTCTTAAATTCTTCTTTTTCATAAGTTCTTTCGAATAATTTATTTGGAATTTATTTACACTGAGAAAAAAAATTTAGTGTTTGCAACAAAATTGTTTGATTAGGCAATTTTGGTTCTTGTAACCAAATTTTGGTTGGCTGAAACAAAGTCGTAGAGTTATCTCAACCAAACATTTGATTAGGTCAACAAAATTATTTGGTTGAACATTTTTAAATTCCAACCAAAATTCGGTTACAACAACAAAATAATTTGGTTAACACAACAAAATAGTTTGGTCTAAAAAACCAAATGATCGTTTGTTGCCCTAACCAAAATTTGGTTGCGACAACCAAATAATTTGATTCGCTCTCAGCTCATAGCTTAAGAGAACAGTTAGTTTAAATCTCTCACACGGATGGCTAGTCCAGTGGTCAGAGCTCCCGATCTACAGTTTTAAAACAGAGGTTCGTTACCAGACGGAGATGAGATTTTTCAAAGTCCACAAATATTTCAATTGGATAAATATAAATTCAATGTTAAATTGACAATAAATAAATAATGAAATAAATAAAAAAGATAAAAAGAAAAGAAATAAGGTAGAATAAAATTTTTAATTTTACAAAAAAAACTGTTTGTTTGATCAACCAAACATTTTTGTTGACCTAACAAAAAACATTTGGTTGAGCTAACCAAACATTTTTGTTATGGCAGCAAAAAACACTCAACCAAATTTTTTGGTTGACTCAAACAAATAGTTTGGTTGCTTAAATACTAACAAATTTTTTTGTTGGCTCAACCAAATTTTGGTTGCTCTGACTAAACATTTGTCTCAGTGTACCGTAACCATTGTCAATTTCCCATTGGGTGGAAGTGTACGGAATTATACAACGAATTAGTACTATGTTGAAGGTAAAAAATATTAAAATCAGTACTGGCAGTACCCTGTCATACACACCGAATCAGTACTATGTCGCTGGTAAAAAAGCATTATATAGGTAGAAAACGATGATTTTGCTTCCTCGTGGAGGAAGCTTTGTAGTCATGTCGTTTATAAAATTTTTAAAAATGGTGAAAACAAATTTTCCTCTATATATGTAGAAACATGTTATATGAGATCCTGATGTGTGTGTGTGGATCGTTTTTGTGAACACGATATCTTTAACAGGTTTTAATGGATTTGGATATTTGGTAGGCTTCTTTATCACATTAAACTCTCAAAAATGACCACAGATTTTTAAAAATACCCAAAAAAAAATTTATCGTCTTTTTTCCAAAATTTTTTTTTAATTGAAAAAATTTTTAAATAGAAAAATTTAAGGTAATATATAATATAATCGTCTTCTTTACGTCAAGACGAATCGATTTGATTGAAATTTAAAGAATTAATGAAAGTTAAAAAATAAAAAATTTACATTTTAGCTAAAAAATGTTGTGTTTATTAAAATTCAAGTTTATAAATAGAATAATTTTATTCCGTGCATTAAAACGAATCGATTGGTATTATATAAAATACAGATTTGATTTAAATTTTAAGAATTAATAAAAATTGAAAAATCAAAAATTCATATTTTAGCTAAAAAATTTTGTGTTTTTTTAAATTCAAGTTAATACATAAAATAATTTAATTCCTTGCATTGAAATGAATTGATTCGTATATGAGGCAAAATTCCTGAAATGTCCGAACAAAAAATTAAAAGTTCTCGAATTTAATCCATACTTTTCTAAAATGTTGTTATTGTTGGTGAAAGTCTAAAAATCAATTATTATTGAATTTAATAAAATAGTTTTTGAATTACAACGTTTTTAATTTTTGACTTTTGAATAAAAAATTTTTTTTCAATGTACAATATTTATAAGTAGAATGCATAAAAGTTAACATATATATAATGATATTTGAAGCTTTTTTGA